TCACAGTGACTGTATTTTCAGTTCTGGATTATTATTAATGATTTCCTTCTTAAATTATTCATTTAACAAACATTCATTGAGAACCTACTATATGCACTATGGGAGATGCTAAGACACTATACATGTATATATAATGATAAATTTAATAGACACATTCCTTGGCCTTAAGATATTCGACATTTGCATTCAGCTTTGTAAATGCGTTGATTATATTGAGACAAAGGCTCTAAATTCTAGTGCTTTCTTTCGTGGTAACCATTAGCAATGTCATATCTTTTTTGTATTTGGGTTCTTTAATTTGATAAAAAAAAAAAAAATTTGGCTACCGAGACTACTTCCGGGGTAATATATTTTTCAAGAAGGGTTTGTGGAGTACCTACTGAGTCCTTACATATCTGTTTGATGGCAGATGCAGAAGACAGACAAACCTATCCCGGGATCAATAGTCAAGTTGTGTTAGTGCTTCCACATTCTGTGTTTCAACCTTGCTTTCTACCTGGTTCACATTTCAGGGCACTGACACCCAAATGATCCACTGGAACTCTCCATCTGTCCCCCCCCCACCCCTTGCCCGCTGGGTCTTTCACCCTGTCGCCTGCACTCGGCTCCTTTCTCTGGATTCACAGTCTCTGGTTTGTTCTCTGAACTCCCAGTTGCCTGTGCCTTGCCATAAATTAGGTCAGTCAACCACCCCAGACCCCTGTTCCTTTCAATCTGTTCTGTCCTCTTGCTTCCCACCACCTACCTCTGACAGAGGACCCTAAGGGAATGGACGCACAGCGGCGATCAGTTTTAATGGATAGAAAAGACCAGTGAGCATGAGAGAAGGAAGGGGGAAAAGATAGATGTGTATGGGGAGGCAGGGGTAATGTACCCATTATCTATGTATTTTCCTGTCTTCCTAGTGGAACTAAAAATGTAAAAACCTAGAAAATGTTTTTTAAAATATCAGAAGAGATTTTCTTTGTCCTTACTCTTCCTCAAAGAAAAACACACAAAGTAACATTTTTCCAGTCTATCACATCTCCAAATATAGCAAATTCTAACTTAATAAGCAAATTCAATCATACATGATGAATGTTTATTAGCCAAGCCAAAAAAAAAAAAAAGCGGGGTAGAGTTTGTTTCTCTACAGAGCATTATAAAAATTACATTTTGCATGTTTCATCATTTTTCCCCAAATTCCTATCCCTCTCCCCAAATAAAGGTCTCAGCTCTACCTACCTGTCATTTCAAAATCTCTGGGAATTCTGTGTCTACAAATGATAGTCTCCAGGTAAGTGGGAAATAAAACAAAGATATCAAGGGGTCTGGAGAAAGGATCTTAAGGGTTCAGGAAAAATTACGTCTTTCTTGGGTTAGGGTTTTGATTTTGAAAATATCCAATTATTTAAAATCAACAGCACAGGGACGCCTGGGTGGCTCAGTTGGTTGAGCGTCCGATGCTTGGTTTCAGCTCAGATCATAATCTCACGGTTCGTGGGATCGAGCCTCCTGTTAGAGCCTGCTTGGGATTCTCTCTGTCTCCCTCTCTCTGTGCCCCTTCCCCACTCTCTCTCTCTCTCTCTCTCTCAAAATAAATATATAAACTTTAAAAAATAAAAGAAAATAAAATCGACAGCACAGAAGATCTGAATTTTCCCGTTCTTTCTATGTGATTGGTTTAATATAAACACTCGGTCCTTCTCTCTTCTCCTCTCTCTTCCCTTCCTTTTCTGCCTCCCTATCTGTCACACCTTACTCTGGATCTCAGTTTATCAATCTTTATTGTCCTACTTTAAACCTCATCAGTCAGCCCACTCATGTCCCACAGGGCAAATGTGGTTTAAATGGCCTAGTCGGATGAGAGAAGCAGCAACTGTGCTTGGCCCTTGGATTTCTTTTACTGAGCCAAAAGGAAATCTAGATATTAAGCCAAAAAATGCAAGACACTCCCACCACCCCACCAGCCAATAATATGTCTGTTCAACACTCTGCTCAGGAAGGACAGATTTTTTCCATTTTTGATGGGTCCTTTAGAACACAGGATCTCCTAAAGAGATAGTTTTTCCACTTAAACACAGTACTTGGATTTTGGACACTTGATATTGTATATGGTCATAGGGACATGTTTGAACAAGATAGTTCTCCTTTCAAGAAGGTCACAGTCCTGGGGCACCTGGGTGGCTCAGTTGGTTAAGTGGCCGACTTCGACTCAGGTCATGGTCTCGCGGTCTGTGAGTTCAAGCCCCACGTCGGGCTCTGTGCTGACAGCTCAGAGCCTGGAGCCTGCTTCAGATTCTGTGTTTCCCTCTCTCTGACCCTCCCCCGTTCATGCTCTGTCTCTCTCTGTGTCAAAAATAAATAAACGTTAAAAAAAAAAATTTTTTTTTAAATAAAATAAAAATTAAAAAAAGAAGGTCACAGTCCTTCGGCTCAGATCGTGATCTCACAGTTCGTGGGTTCAAACCCCGCGTCGGGCTCTGTGCTGACAGCTCAGAGCCTGGAGCCTGCTTTGGATTCTGTGTCTCCCTCTCTGTCTCTGCCTCTGCCCTGTTCACACTCTGTCGCTCTCGCCTTCTCTCTCTCAAAAATAAATAAATGTTAAAAAAAATTTTTTTTTTAAATCAAGAAGTTCACAGTCTACAATATGGGTGAATCTTGAGGACATTATGCTAAGTGAAAGAAGCCAGTCATAAAAAGACAAATGCTGTGTGATTCCACTTATATAAAGTACCTAGAATGGTCAACTTCACAGAGACAGGAAATAGAATGGGGGTTACCAGGGGCTGGGGGGAGGGGAGAATGAAGAGTTAGTGTTCAACGGGGACGGAGTTTCAATTTGGACAGATAAAAACAGTTTCGGGGATGGATGGTGGTGACGGCAGCACGACAATGGGAATATAGTCAACACGACGTAAAAATGGCTAAAGTGGTAAATTTCATGTTATGTGTATTTTACCAAATTAAAAAAAAAAATGTTCAAAAGAAGTTCATAGTCTAGTAAGAATTATCCATAGGCTTATAGTCTTAGAAAAGGTCATAAGGGTCCCTTAGCCAATGTTTTTTTTCTTACTGGGACCGACAATAAAGAACTTCATTTTATATCATGAGCCAGCATGTGTATGTCCTAATACTGACATATACACACACATATATATAGTCATTGATACATCTACGTGGATACACATAAATATACATATAACTAAAATATAGACGTAAATATGGGTGTATTTATTTATAAATATGACATTTATTAAATATGTTTATAAACATAATTTATTTACAAATATTTATATAACTAAAAACACATCATTAAAAAATGGCATAGGAAATATTTACTCTACTATATGGAACGTGTTTTGACTTTTTTTCTACTCTAACTCCATTTTATTTGAAAAATATATATATCAGTTACAACCCCCAAATTTGATTTCACAGTCCACTAATGGATCCCAGTCAGCAGTTTGAAAAACACTAATCTAGCCCAGTCTCCAACACAATGCAGAAATCTCTATAACCGATCTCCTGGGTGATCATCGAACTTCTGTTTGAATGCCCTCAGTGATGGGGAGCTCACTCCCTACAATGCTCTGTGGTGAATCCATCTAGCAGTTAAAGATCCCCGTCCACTCCAAACTTGTTCCAGGAGTGGGCCAGGTGGAGCCAGGGATCACAGAAGGTCTGGGACCTGCTGACAGGTGTTCTGGTGCTGGTGACAAGTGGGTTTCAAGGAGTTCCTAGCAGCAAGGTGGGGGCTTGGGGCATGCTTGAGAGGAGGGGGCTGGCTGGCCCTAGAGGACAGGGCAGAGTCTCTGGAGACTCTAGCTTTGCTCAGTGGAGCTGCTAATCAGACCTTGGCCCTCTGCTTCCTCACCACTCTCTCCAGCACTATGATTATCTCCTCAACAGAAGAATGATCTCATCCCCCCTAGCACCCTGACTCCCTGCCTGTGGGAGAGATTTCCTCCCCCTAGAGAGGGGCTCAGCGTCAGGAGAGACAGATTCTCCCACATTCTCTCTCAGTCTGCCACCCACCCCGCAGGACTCCAGCGGGCCACCGCTGGCCATCCCCGCCCACTGTTCTCTTGGTCTTGAGACACGAGGGTATTCCTGCCCAGGGTGTTTGGACTCAAGCTACCTCAATATTCTGAGACCCCCAAGGGATTCCGGGCACCTGCCTTTTTTCAGGACAATGGGACCCCTCCACACCTGACTGTGTCTTCCTGGGAGGAATGAAACAAAGCACTGCCACGTGGGGACAAGGCTGGCCACTGGACAGCGGATCCAGGTCCTGGTCCCCTGGATGAGAAGAGGGCAGTGCCTAAACTCCAGGCAAGGGCGGCGGGTTGAGTGAGGAGTGGCCTCGCTCAGCCACCAGCGGGGACCAGGGCGTGGCACTTGTGGGTTCCCGCAGTTTGTAGCCAGACAGCCAGCCGGCCCTGCCCAGGTAGGATGGGTTGACCTCAGGGCGAGGCGGAGCCAGGAAGAGGTGGTGATCTCATTGCATCCTTAGAACCAAGAGCAAAAAGTAACCCAGTGCAGACGGAGGAGAAAGAAAAGGATGATACACAGGGGAAAGGGAGCCAGGAAAAACTGTGGCTGAGAAAGGAAATGTAAAACAAAAAGCAGCTTCTAGCCTGAAACAAATCACGGGTCAGAGCCAGCTCCAAGGGAAGCCGGACTCTGAACAAAACCTTTCTCCCAAAGCAACAAAACATTTTTATGCAGAAAGAACTCACCATGGACATCTGACCCAAAAGAAACCCTGGCAATTCGCACCTGTCCTCCGAGCTCTGGAACAGAAGGACTGCCTGTAGCCCACCCTTGCCCCTCGGGGTAGCCCCATTCTTTTCACCTCACCCCATTTCTGCCAGGATTTCACAAAGTTTCATTGATTGAATGAAACCAAAAGGCAACACAAAGGGCGCCAGGCCCCTCGCTCCTCCTCCCTGCGGCTGCTAATAATTTTTTCTTTTGTCTGAAAAGCCTCAAAGAATTTGCATCCCATTCCCACTTACCTGCGGTCCTGTTCAGGCGAGGTGCTTCCTTCCTCACTCCCTCAATTAGTGGTACCCTGGGCTTCTCTTCACATCAGCACCACTGCTCGCTCTCGCCATGACATCACCTCTGAGCTCTGTGATTGGCTGACAGGGGGTTGCTTGGCAATTGGACAGTCTCCGCTGGTGGAGCAGGGATTGCCTGAGTGAGTAACTCTTAGCAGGCCAGGGAGTGGAAGATGATGTCAGACAAACAACCTGCTTTCCATGCTGCCTGTGGCGCTGGGGGCCAGAGGGTAAGGGTAGGGATGCAGAAAGAAGGAGGGAGGGAATGGTACGAGAAGGTGGGGGCTAAGGCACTGCTTACAAGCTCAGCTGTCCGGCCAGAGGGAGAGCACCTGGAGAGGGGGAGCAATGAATGATTTCCAGAATCTTTAGCTCTTTCAGATCTGGGGGTGGGAAAATATGGCATCTAGAGGAGAAATCAAAAAGAACAGATGAACCCTAAAAATAGCTTCCGGAGGGCTTGGTGCCTGTTTCCAGCTCTGTCAGAAGGGCTGGTGGGTTTGAACAGTGAGTCAGAAGGCAAGGAGGGGCTGCAGACACCCCAGGCTTTGGGGCTCGTGAGGGCCTGGCACGCGGGTCCCGGGAGAGCAAGGCTCCCCTTTTGCCACCTGGCTGTGATGTTGGCCACGCCCCTTCTGTGGCAACCTGACTAGAGCTGGTGGGCCCTCACAGCCCACCCAACTCCCCTGGGCCTTCCAGAAGGAAGGAGACCATGACTGAAGCTGAGGACCCTCACTACCCTGGTGATGCCTCAAACAGATGGAACGCTGACCAGAGGTGACGGGTCACCCATGGTGGTTCCCCTAGTTCCCTCAGGGAGCGGAGGCAGGGAGCCCTGAAGGCATCTTCTCAGCCTGCCAGTCAGCCGGAAGTGGCAGGGCCAGGCAGCCTGCCGGACTAGACCCCCTTCTCTAGAATGCTTCTCCCATCAAAGCCTCGCTGAGTGGGCTCTCCATCCCTGCACCCCCAAGGCAGCGTCCCACCACCCCGCCTCACCTCACCTCCTTCTTTCCAGTGGGAAAGGGTGGATTTCTGCTGTGGCGATAAAATATACATAGCACGAAACTTACCACTTTAGCCATCTCTCCGTATACACGTGGATGGCATTAAGCACCTTCACAGTGCTGTTCAGTCATCACCACCACCCATCCCTCGATCCCTTTCATCTTCCCACCTTGAAATTCTGTTCCCATTAAACACTAACTCCTCTTTCCCCTCCCTTTGGCTCCTGGTGACCTCTAATCTACTCTCCGTCCTGATGAATTTGCCTCTTCTAGCAAATTCATTACCTCATGTATTACCTCATGCCACTGGGATCATACGCTGTATTTGTCCTTTTGTGTCTGGCTGATTTCACTTAGCATCATGTCCTCCAGGTTCATCCACGTGGTGGCCTGTGTCAGAATCTCATCACCTCACCCTTTTTACGGAGGGTTTGTTCACCCACAGTCAATTTCACTAACTCTCACCCTCTACCACCACATCCCTGCTGACCGAGAACACACGAAAGTCACCTTCGCTCAGCCCATGCCTTTAAATTGTTTTTAAATTGCGAGAGCACCGAAGAGCATTTGCACATCAGTTTGTGCAGGTGGAAGATGCCCTGTGTATCCACTCTGTAGGCGTGCTGGGGAGGAAGCAGGTTCTCAGGCCCTGGCAGGGACCTCACAGCTGGGACCCAGGGTTGGCATCTCACTGTCCAGTGCCCTGTGCTGTCCTCCAGGGGCACCATGTGGACATATATCTCCAAACCAGCCACTTCGCATCAAGAGAAGAAAGCACCCATTAGACTGCCCCACTCTGGGCCACCACACCGAGTAGGGGTGAGGGAGTGACCAGAATAAGGAATGACCCCTGACAGCCTTTGGAGTTCACAATGCTTGCTCACACGGGTCCTGTCCTGTAACCCCCAGCGGCCCTGCAAAGGCAGTGGGATGAAAACCCTTCTTTTGTTGGAACAACATGCTTATCACGCACGCCACAAGCCATGAACCCAGCCCCCCCTCCCCCAGGCCCGGGGCTGTCTCATTTTAAACGGAATCAAGAGTGCCTATGGGTATCTAAATGGTTTCCTGGATGTGCAGAGATAATAGAGGCCACACTGCCTCCCAGGCTCGTATCAGGAATCCAAGTAAACCAGAACCCCGTGGCCGCCTTTGCAGTCAAGGCATTCTCTCCCCTCCCCCCTCCTCCCTTCCAGCGCTGAGAAGTCTGGAACTCCACAATCTGCTGCTCTGGAAAAGGGGGGTGGGGTGCGGGGAGGAGACAGTGAGTTGCCATGGTGATGGCAGCCAATGAGAGATACTCTGCTACTAGGGGAGGGAAGTGCTCAGAGTCCCCCTCACTGACTGATAGGAGAAGGGGGCTGGGACCAGGCGGGGAGGACAGGACATCACAACCGGAGACCAAGGAGGGGGAGAAGGGAAATGCAGAAAACTGCCTTGTTTCTAGAGTCACTTAGCTACCATTTGAGTACTACGTTGTGATGGACTATATATATATATATATATATATCTGTGTGTGTGTGTGTGTGTGTATATATTTATATATATACACACCATGTTGTGATGGACCGTATCTATATCTATATCTGTATTACCTTGTGATGGACCATATTTATAT